CTCCAGCCAGTGTAGTACCACTGTATTGTCTGCTCGCAGGCGGGCCGCTTGTTGCTTGCCTTCTGTCCTGCTGTGCTGAGTGCCTGACAAAGGAGCTCTTTTAAATATGCAGACAATTCTCGATCGCTCGCACACTCACACATACACACGCGCTTGTCCCTGCCTTCTTCTTTCTCTCGCCGTCAATTCTTCCGTGTCTAGACCTGGCCTGGGAGTGTTTCCTCTTTTTCGCAGAGAATCAACAAGTCTCACATGAAAAAAAGGACACAGAAGGCTTTCTCCCTGTCGGAGCCTTGCAAGCTTTAAATGAATGCTGCTTGCGTTGCCTTGTGAAGCGGCCGACTTGTCAAGGCCAAAAGCTGAAACCCTGTTTGTTGTGTTCTTTGTGACAGAGATTTGTTCTTACTGTATATTTAACTAGCCTCATTTGTGATGCACATGAATATCCATGACAATAAAAACCTACATCTCAACATAGTACTGCATCCTTTAATACTTTTCTTCACAAAATACATGAATACATTATAAGATGATGCATATATAAATGTGTGTGGTAATCTTTAAAAACTGAGGAGGTTTTAGATGCTAACAGCTGTCTCGAGCTGATTTTGGAAGTTGCATCAAAGTTGTGTAGACTCTTTTCTCAGCCAAACCTGCAGATGCTAGTTTAGAGAGACGAGCTGGAAACTGGTTTGAAAATATGGCACAACAGTCAAACATCAGGACGCCTTGAGTCCACATGACACTCTTCTCTTTATCTCCCCCGCCTCCCCCCTTCTTCCCGCTTCCTCTCGAGGTATATGGGAGCCCTCCCTGGCAGCTTGGCAGAGGCCGCTCCCTCATGCAAAGCGGCGGAGTGCAGGGGCCCGGGCCCCAGACAGGAGCCCAAGCTGGTCTCAGCCTCCCAACATGTTGAGCTGGCCTGCCTTGGGCACAGCCAAATGGTTCTGCAGCTGCCCCTTTGTCCCCCTTCCTTAAGTAAACAAAGGACAGAAACAAATTAATGACCTACATTCACAGCGAACCTTGCACGGCCTCCTCGCGCAAAGAGAGCGAGCAGTTGTCTATAAGCAGATGTTCACTTACAACACTGCAGATTGCAATTAATGATCTCCAAGCAGTGCACAACCAAAGGATGGGGCTTCCACGTTTACAGCAGCAGTTATCATAATGTCTGCTCTCTGTCAGAAAAATCACAACTGTAAACAACTGCTCTGAGAAGGAAATAAAAGGGCAATTTCAACGAAGACGTCTAACACTTTTGAAGCTAAATAACACATATAGTTGAAATTATTATTTTCAAAGATTCCATAAATCTAAATCTAGTTAGGGCTTACATAAAAAAAAAAAAAAAGATTGAACTCTGTTGTAACAAAACTAAAACCTTTGAACACTTCTAAGTTTCTTGAAGCATTATTAGGCCTCCTTCAGACAGAGGACAATGTTATAAAGATTAGGAGTGAGCTTATCGCGTGAGTGTGCGTTGGGGGCTTACTGAAGAGACCATCTGTGGCCTAATGAACGCTGCTCCTTGGCCTCTGAGTGCAAGGCTTATAATACATCTGTAAGAGCAGGTTTACTGAGCAGCAATACATTAGCTAAAGCTGATTTCTTTACTGGAAAACTGTACTTGAGGAGCTTTGGAGTAAGGCTGTGCGTGTGTGTGTGTATATGTGTGTATTGCAGGGGGTAGGATCTCAACAAGCTGCTTCACATTTTCTTCTCAAATACTGCCTACATCTTAACCGGTGCAGCAGATATATCAGGAGTTGGGCATGGCACACAGCACAAGCACAAAGTGAGTAGACACAGGCCGTCATGCTGTGTCCATGCACGCCTCGTTGTAGACACGCAAACAAATAAACAACTTCCACCCACACCGCGAGTCACAGGGAAGCCGGACGCAAAAGTCTAAAAAAAAACAAACGTGTGAGCTGAAAATAAGAAAAGTATCATGTCATATTGGAGGTAAAATTATGAATTGTGATATAAAGAATAACATACAAATAAAACTTCACACGAAGACTGAATTTCAAGATTCTTATAATTTATTGCAGTTTGCACACAATTTAAAAATGTCAACAGCACACCAAAAAATTACAAAACTAAACACAATTAGAATTTGCTCCCCTCGAGTTAAAAAAAATCAACCCAACTATGATTGTCAAAGCTAAAAATAACTAAATCTGAAAAAGGAACATCAAATAAAAGCAAAGGAAATTTTTAATCTCAACGGGGAGCAAATAGATTTAAATTGAAATCTGCTCGTTTTTTTTCCTCCTTGACAGTGATTGTCCTTTTTCCAAACAGACTCAGTCATTTCAAGCCCCCTTTCACCCTCCACCTCTTCCACCTTTCCATAAATTGTTTAGGAAATTTGAACGTTTTAACTTATACCTTGCTTTTTTTCTAAAAAAGCCCCCTCCCCCCCCTTTTTGTTTTCAAGTAAGCACAGCAAAAAAATGGAGATGTTTTCATAAGGGTGGCTACTTCACAGCATCTTGCTCCCATAACTCCACCCCACACTCACACTTCAAAAATAAAATAAAAAAACATCCCGGACTACAGCAGTTTAAGGCGGTCAAGAAGAACCAGAGGAAGAAAATAACAGCAGTAGAGCAGTAATGATGAAAACAACAGCAGGATTGAGTGAGTCCATATGCAGTGATGCTGCCAGTATAAGAAAAAAGAAATTGCGGAGGAAAAAGATTTTAAAATGAGTAGATGCGGTGCAAACTGCCGCGCACTGTTGGATTGGCAGAGCGTGTGGTTGCCACCAGATGACAGAACGGCACATACAACCACCCCACCCACCACATGCACATCAACGGGGGCGTGCACATGTACAAACACACACATCTCAGTGAGGGGAAATGTGGAGCGTTCACTTTTATCTCCGTGTCTAATGTTTTTGGATTGTTTTAACGCTTAACCATTATTTGAAATTGTGACAAGAAGTTTGAGATACGGAGATCTGAAAGATAATTGAACTGTTGAATTGTACATTCACATACAAAAAAGGTCAAATAAATTTCTTCAAATCACATAATCAAAATATAATAAGACATCATTTTCAGATAAATCCAATAAAATGTATGAATTTATACATGATTTTAAACAGCTATTTCCAGATGCTCTACAGTATCAAATACTTCCACAGCGTCAGAAATGTTATATTAATAAAGGCATCTTTTCAGCAAAAAAAAAATCTGATTTCATGTCTTTTAGCTTAAAAAGGTGCATTCAGGCATGCCAATTCTCTTCCATCTAACTCATCGAAGGGTTGTTGGAAAACACACACACACAAGCATGTTATCAGATTCACTCCTAATGTGAAATGCACTGTGCAGAGTAAGGTTGTTGTTTTTTTTCCAGAATGGCCTTCACTCAGCTCAACTAAGCACAGCACAGCTTGGCTTAACATGTGTGACAAAGATTTCTGGCCCTTCAACTTTCAGCAGGACAGCTAAGTTCCAGCCTCTCTCCTTTTTTTCTCTCTTCTTCATTATTCTCCACTCTGTTGCAGAGTCAGAGCCATGAAACTGCGCCCAACAAACCTGAAATAAGTCATGCCAATTTCTTTTTTTATAAATGGCTCGACCACATCTAGAGCTGGAGAGGACGGAGACATGAGAGGAGGAGGACAAACATTCAGCAGTGGAGAAATGCAACGCCTTAGGGAGGAGCAGGAGGAAGTGCTGGATGGACATTGATCTTCAGTAGGTTAAATTGACCGGTAATAACCAAACCACACGCTCATAAACACACACGCAAACACACACTACACAAACATACACAGCAGAGACATCAGTGCATAAGACACAGGTTTAAAAATGCTTCATCTTATCGCTTCAACATCCGACAGAAACACATTCGGTAACATTCTTCTAGGAGCTCAGCGACAGACCTACGACAATAGAAAAGAAACTTTCACTGTCAAAAGTGTTCTGTTCAAACATTTCCCCCCTGATGCAAAAACCACAACTTAAACAGTTTAAGACAAAATCAAATTTTCATGCATTTTTCCCATAGTCTTGGGAATAAAATTCAGTTTTCAACAGACCGCACCCTGGAGTAGTATTCACAAAAAAAGAAAAAGAAAGCCCATTGTCAAATATTTGATCAATTACAATGTGTACAGTAATACAGCAAATTCACATTTCTATTTTAAAATATACAGGTTTGGACTTCATGCAACAATAGCAGGTCCCATTACAAAAAAAAGTAACAAAAAATCATAATAATAATAATAATCATTAATTGAAAAAAAAAAAAAAAAACTGTAACGGATTAAAGTTCTAAAACTATAGCAGAACAATATACAACAACTTTAAATTAAATACCTTTTCAACAAGAGATGTTTTAAAGACTGCCAGCTACATTTAAGAAAAAAATCTATTAATAACAATAATAATAATATTATAATAATTTGTAAAGGTCTTTTCATTTGTAGAAAATACTTCGGATTGATAGGAAGTGAAAAAAGGAGGCTGTGCATTGCATGAGTGCCATCAGTTTGTCTGTCAGTCAGCTTTCCCCTGAACACACAACAGCAAAGAGCTTAACAAGAAGCAGGGAGCGCTTCGCCAACGACACCTCCATGCCAGTAAAAAATAAAATTAATACACAAAAAAAAAACACACTCACACACACTCACGCACGTCAGGTGAAGTATTTGCCAGAGTAGTGCAGCGTCACCACGCACACACGTTTTTAAGTTGTGTGTGTGTGGTGGTATTGACTCGCGATGATCACAGTACCCGTTTAGTGTATTGTAATGCTTTTTCACTTCAGTGTGTTTGACCTGAACTCCTGCAGTGGTGTTTGCTGTCTGTGGAACTAGGACTGATATGCTGGCCGGCATCGGAGTGTTGTGTCTGAGATGAAATACAGAGTGAAAACTCTTCAAAAAGGCGAGACCATGCTCCCATGTCCTCAGACGCAATTAAATACACCAAAAAGAACTTATGTCAAATAAAAATTAGAGTTCAGAAAAAAATAGAAATAAAATTACCCCAACAGCAACAACAAAAAACTCAGTAGTAACATTTTCATGTGCTATTAAAGTGCAATTGAATGAGATTTTGCGACACACAAGAACATGACTTGAACCAAAATATTATTTTGCCACCTCCCTTTTACCTCCCCATACCTCTCTGCCCTTCTTTCTCTCTTGCTCTCTTTCCCTTTATCAAATCCCGCAGTCTGATTCTACTTCCACAGTTCCTGGGAGCTGTCCTCGATTGCCCAATCCCTGACATTGGGCAGTGCCAGCGGTTCACTTTTCACTGACAGCGAGTTGACCAGTTCGCAGTGGAATTTGCGAATATGTCGATAAAGGTCCCCAGACTGCGTGAAGCGCCGTTCGCACCACTTGCAAGCATGTGGCTTCTCACGAGTGTGCACCACTGCGTGGCGACTGAGGTTGTGTGAGTATTGGAAGCTCTTGCCACAGGTGGTGCAGGTGTAGGGTTTCTCACCAGAGTGTGTCCGCTCGTGGCGCTTCAGCGTGTACATGCAGGAGAAGGTCTTGCTGCAGATGGTGCATGTGGGCACATTGACGTCTCCGGCAGGCTTGGAGCGGATGCCCTCCTGCTCCCTGAAGTGGGAGCTGAGGTGGAGCTGGAGGATGTGTGGGGAGGGGAAAACCTTGTTACACAGCGGGCACATGAAGATCTGGGTGTGTTGAGCTGACAGCATGTTGGAGACATAGGGCAGCAGGGAAGTATCCATGCTGGCCGCCTCGGCCTGCGCACGCTCGTTTTCTCCACCGAGTATGTCATCGTCCTCTGCTGTGGCCGAAGGCTTCTCCTCCCGCTCCAGCTCTGAGGCCAAAGAAGCCTCTCGCAGAGCGGACAGGTGCGCCTCCAGGCCAAGCCTCCTCTGAGCTGACAGAGGCCCTCCGACCCCGTGGTGGGTCAGGCCGTTGGTGCTCGGAATCGTAGCCTTGGTGATGCCACTGTGCTCCATGTCATAGTCCCCAGCTCCCAGTTCCTCTTCCTCATCTGAAGCCACACCCCTCTCCACCTTCACTCTAACAGCCATTGGGCTTTGGAGGCTGTCTGGTGTAGCTGCCCCGCTGAAATAGGACTGGTGATGGTTACTGTGATTGCTACCAGCAATCGGCTTGACTGACAGATCCAGGACACAGTCAGCCGCATCATTTGACACCCTCCTGCCCCTTTGCCCTCCACGAGAACTCACGGAACGGTGGGATCTTTGTGAGAGGGTTCCTGTGGAGCTGGTTGGACTGCCGGCAGGGGAGAGCAGTTTCCCTCCTTCCCCCAGTCTTTCCCCACTCTGCATCTCCGCCTCAGCGTGCCCTGGGCTGGTGGTAGCCGTGGCTGGTGTTCCTGGTCTCTCTGCAGACGGCAGCCTCAGCCACAGCGGTCCTCCCTCAGTTTTCACCTCCTCATCTTCGTCGCTGTGCAGAAGGTCGGCTGTGGCAGGCCGGCCCGGAGAATCATCTGATAGACTGTCGGCTTTATCTGAGCAGCTGGACCCTCCGTCATCCTCTCTGCGCGTGCTGTCTGCTTCTGCTGTGGCCTTCTGCTTCAAACGCTTCTTACACACCTTGACAATGTCATACATGTGCAGATAGCTGGCCGCTGCCAGCACATCCTCTACAGGAAGGTCCTGGAACTGTAGCTTGCCCTCATACATGAACTCCAGGAGCAGGGAAAAGGCCGGGGCTGTGACAATGTCGCTGTTGAGGTGCACCACGTCTCTCTTGTCCAGCTGGTCCTTGTAGAAGAGGTGAAAGTACATGCTGCAGGAGGCCAAAACAGCCCGATGGGCCCGGAACTGGGAATCTCCCACCAGCACTGTGGAGTCACACAGGAAGCCCTGGTGCCGCTGCTCGCTCAGACACTGGAGTAAATGTCTACTGTGGTCTGGGAACTCCATCCTGCTGTCCTCATAACCTGAAACCATACAGAAAAACAGAGGCAAAGTCAAGTTAGACACGTCTGATAAAGGTGTTAATATCTGGGATGTTACACAATTTCTAACTCGTGGAGTTTTTATATGAGTTCTGAAGGTTTTTAATTCAGTACAACATTTTAAATAAAGTATTATTTGCATTAAAGGTAATTACTCAAGAAAGACAAACCAAGAAATGCTGATAAAATAAAAAAAGGAAAATTTAAATTCAGTGATGACAGAAACAGACAAATTCTTCAAGGAGGCAAGACAAACTTCATATAATTTCTAAATGATATGTGTGTGCTGTACATTTCAAGTGTAGGGATCATGACACTGTTTTTGTCATCTCTCACGTTTTTATGTCAAATCCTCAATTCCCGCAACAAAATTATCCTGAGCGATGCCAATTAAAATAAAAGCAGAATCGCGAGGGAGAGAGGAACAAATGCTACAAACAAATATGGTTTTAAGATGCAGAAGGCAAACCGCAGAAAAGAGAACGTTCAGTGAAAAGAAAAATTAGGAGTAGGTGGGTCATGAAAACAAAAAGACTGACGAGTGAGAAAAGGAACTTGTTTGAACCCATTATAATTATATCAAAAAATAAAAAATTGGGCAGACAATATAGCATAGTTATTGAAACAAAATTGTGCCTGGTTTTATACAGTAGTTAATGACTTCAACATCATCAAATATTCTCTGATTCAAAAAATCCATTCCGGTAACTGTTCAGTCATGCACACGTTTCCTCACGTTTTACTCTTTTGTCTTTTCTAATTTCTCCAATAACTGAATTTAAAATAAAATTGAAAAAAGGGAATTAGAAAAACAGATAATTACTATTAAGAAAAATAATAATCAAAGTTTTACGCAATTAAAGTAGATTCTGAAATTCCGTTTTCACCGACAGAGAAACTTAGAATCAGGTAAACCACTTGCAACAGATTCTTCCACTCTGTCTCTCTGTTCTCTCTGTTCTCTCTATTTCTCTCTTACTCCTCTGCCTGCACTACTGGATTGTCGCTGCTCCTACGCTGGTTATTTTTATTAACCCACTTTGGCCTGGCCTGGCACAGCCCTTTTAGGTAACCGGCTTTCAGCTGCACACACTGTCCTCACGTACACAACACACACACACTTAGTACCAGCCTACCTACCAACCACCTCCACAGGCTAAGTCGAGCAGGAAAACTAGCCAATTGAAAAAAGCACAGTTGAAAACGAAAAGAGATTGTCCCTCCTTTAACCTGCAAGCAGCGGCTTTAGGTGTAAGATTAGAAGAGAGGCGAAAAAAAGAAGAGAAAACTTGCGGCAATGTTCTTCAGGTGTGCTCAAAAAATGTTCTAGTCAATAAAATAAGTTAAAAAATGAAGGCAATTAATAGGAAAAAATGCGTAAAAATTATTAATTCCCACCTTTTAACCAAGTCGATTTGTCCTGCCTTAGAAAATACATGAGTCCCGCTCTGCACTGTGTTAACCAAAGCAGTTAAATCACCTCATTTGAATGAAGCTAAACCAAGAATGTCTGTGTGTGCGTGTGTGTGTTTGGGCAATGTGTAAATGCGTGTGCGCCCTCCGGCTCGTTCAGACTGCTTTTAATGAGGGGGCTTACGGGGACAAGGGTGTACCACCTCCCACCCCCCACCCCTCCTCCCCCCTCTGTCCAGCCAAACCCCTCTGTCACCTCCTCCTTCCAAACACACACCATCCGCCACTGACAAACTCCTTCCCATCTGAATCTTACTACAAAAAACCCCTGCACATCCGCCCGAAGAAGTAACTGCCCTCTTCCTTAACTCCCCCAGCCCTCCGCCCACCACCACCCAGAAGAGAAGATTTACAGTACAATCACTGTAAGTGCCCTGCTCGTCACAGCATCAATCCTAATCCTTAAAGATGGCTAAAAATAAAGACGGCGGTGGTGGCGGTGGGAGGGAGCCGTCGGCGGAGGCTCAGGAGGGCAGCAGCCCCGTCAGCCACCCTGGCCGGCCGGCCCAGGGAGGCAGGCAGGGGTCTGACAGAGGAGGAGAGAGAGAGAGAGAGAGAGAGAGAGAGAGAGACATAGAGGGACAGGGAGGGTTAGAGAGAGAGAAGCTGGGACGGCCGGGGAGGGAGGCTTACCCACATCTGATCCAGCTGACGGGGGCCATATGGCAGCTGCTAGCCAGATAAAGAGATTAAGACTAGGAGGGAGTGCGATTACAGCTGTCTAGCCAATTCAGGCAGCTCAAATCTGCAACTTCTAAATTAGTCTCCTCCACTCCAGCCGACAGGAGGGGGAAAAAAAGAGGCTCGAGTGGACCGCACATGCTTTCAAGTAATTTTACAGCGGGTCAGTATTAACTGAAGAAAAACGATTTGATGATTGGGATTGAAAAATTAAACGGCTTCTTTTTTGCAATACTTTTTCCATTCCTTACTAACTTAAAGAATATAATTTTCCTCTCTTTTTTTAAAACTAATTAAAGAATGTCTAAATATGAATTTTGTGAGGGAAAAAATAACTACTTTTAACAATTATTTCCTCATAAATTTTGAGGAATAACGAGAGAAAATCAGGCTGAATTGAAAAAAAATCCTGACCTGCAACTTTGCTTTCAATCAATAAAGTCTAAAAAAAAAATCAATGTCTAAACAAACAGCAAGTAAAAACAATAACTTAGTTTTAAATGCCAGTCGCTAGGTGACAAACTGATAACACAGCGGAGCTTTCCCCGGACTGCAATTACCCCTCAGACAGACAGCAACAACCAACACGAGTTTACTACTGAAGCACTCACCAGCAGTTTCACACAGCGCTCACACTGATTTGACAAGCTGAAGATCCCCACAACAATAAAACAAAATAACTACTCCACTACCCCAGACTGCTGCTCTATTCACTGCACTCACAAACACACACACACACACACACACACAGAACGATACCTGCAGCAGTATGCATCAACTTGATTAACTCCACTGTAGCAGAATAGCTGGGCTCTCTGGCTGGGAACGGCTGTGTATTTCTCTCTCTCTCTTTCTCTTCCTTGCTCGCTCTCTCTGAATCAATGAGTGGGTAGAAGAGGAGAGAAGAAGAAGAAGAGGGAGGCAGGCGGAAAAAAAAAACACGCTGTTCAAACTGCGAGGGACAGATGCAAAGTGGAGGAGATGTTGGAGGGGGAACGAGATACCACCTCCCTCCTCCTCCTAACTGGCGCTGATCGGCAGCCACAAACACACACACATACACAGCGTGCACACAGACACACACACACAAACAGCACTAACTCTCCCAGGCTGCCGCTGAGTCTCACAATAAAGGACTGGGGAGGGGTGGAGGCAGTGGAGGGATGGAGGAGGAGGAGGAGGTGGGGTGGATGGCAGCCTGTCAGCTGCTCTGACATCATCCTCAGATGGAGATGCTACCTCCAGCTGTGCTCTTTCTACAGCCATATGCTGCCTCCTCTACACTCCTGCCACCAGACTCCTCTTTCATTCTACCAACACCAACACCACGCAACTTTGTCTCCCTTTTCTCCCCCGTTCTCTCTCTGGGAAATAAACTCTGGGTTTATTTAATGCAGTGGGATGCCGGGGTTGGCTTGTGGAAAACAGAGTTTACTAACAGAATCACCACAGCCACATACTGCTAATAAAACTATCTCGGGAAGGGGAAAGTTTTCTAAATTTAAAAGAGGTTACGTGTGAAAACTTTTCTAAAGCATTTTGAAGTGTTTGAATCCTCCTCTGTCTTCCTTTCTATGCCTCTGTCTTCCAGTAACCATAAACAAAGGCCAACACAGCACATTTGCAACTGACAGACGCACGCAGCTGATATTGTTTTCCACTTCTTTACGGTTCAGCGCTGCTGCCTCCTCTTGCATTCATTCAGTCACTTGTTCATTCATTCATCCATCCTTATATTCAAACAGCCATAGCACCCCCCCCCCCCCCCCAACCCCACCCCCTCCTGCTTAGACCCCCAAGAACAACTGACAGAAACAAAAAAAAGAAATGAGGAAACAATGGGAACAAGTCTTAAAGAAAGAATCCTAATGAGTGCAAATCCTTGACAAAAGGTATACAAGCCTCTAATGAGCCGGTGAGAAAGTTATTACAAGTAGCCTATACTTTATTTCACTTTCGTTTCAGTGAAAGAGTCCCCGTGAGGTATGTACTTGTACTATATTCGAGTATATGAACAAAACTACTTGCATTTTCAATAACTATTTGTGTTAACATCGCAACAATATTTAATGAGCTTTTGAAAAATAATAAAAGCACACACACACCGAATAACAAACAGTCTATATTGTCGCTGACTTATCACACAAGAGGTAAAAAAAAAAGAGAGGAAAAACACTTGTAACCTTATAAGACTTTTATCATAAGAATCTTTAAACAAAATAAAAGCAATATTACGTTATTTTTCTTTTGCCCAATGGTTAATGAAGAGTAACGCGTCATGTGTATTAATAACTTGATAATATAAGAACACTTTTTTTCAATAGTTTCAGTGAAAAATCTTTAAAAAAAAGCTACTTCAAACACTCGCAAAATCTTGATTTTCAAGAGTTTATTTTGAAAAACCCCAGAGACATTAATTTATTTGACTTTCACTGCAGGATTAATTAACAATGTTTTAAAAGTCGTGTCGTGCTGTGCTTATTTTAATTTGTTTTCATTTTTTTTGACTAATTTTAACACCGTGACAGCGCTTTATTCAACACTTGGAAAGTCACAGAAGTGTTTAATTTAACTTTAATAAGTTTGTTGTTATTAAATATCACAAACTCTCCCTTTAACTTTAATCTGAAGCAGCAGTCACTACCGGCGGTGACAAGTTTGTTGCAGCCTTGCAAAAAGAAATTACCATAAAAAAAAAAAAAGTCAAGAGTAATGTTTCGGCTTTTTTTTTTACGCTGTGAAAACTTAAATGGAAAAAAACCAACTAAAAAAAAGAGTTTTATTATTTCTATCGGAATACACAACAGAGACACACTGACCCACGCAGCTAGCTATAGCCCGATAATGGCTAACAAAAGTAAGGCGAAGAGGCTACATTATTGAGCTATTTACAGTTGTTCCGAAGGCCCCGGTGCTATGACAACAGCTGCTAAAACACCGCGGAGGGAGAGCTAACATGGCAACTATTATTGCGAGGAGACAACACAGTCATGCTAAGGAAGGTTTAGCTACTTTTTTTTCCTCCACCCTCTCTCCCTCTCTCTCTCTCTCTCTCCCTCCTGAGCTTCCTTTAATCGGACTCCTGTATTAGAAGCAGCACTTACAAGACAACACGGTCCAACGTCTTCCCCGCTTCCTCCGTCAAAATCTTCTTCTTCTTCTTCCGTCCCGAGACAAAAAAAAACTAGATCGACTTCTTTGGACTAATTTCCATAACAGGGCTGCTGACTGAGGCGAGCAGGCGGAGAGGGGGGACGTGCGGGGAGTGTAGCACTACTGCGGCGGCCAGATGTTTCCGAGCTGTTGCTGCTGCTCAACTCGGTGCGAGCTGAGAAAAGGGGGAGGCGAGTTGACTGGCACGGCGCGGAAGCCAATGGTGCCGGCAGAGGAGGAAAGTGAAGGCAAATTGGAAGCGGCCCTCCAAACAGAGGAGAGGGAGGGATATGTCTTCTTCTCTCGTCGGCGTAGGTTGACACCAAGCAGCAACAACAACAGCAGCAGCAGCAGCAGACACACACAGAGTGAGCAGGCTGGAAAGAAGAAGAAGAAGAAGAAGAAGAAGAAGCCGGGCCAAACCAACTGGTTCTGCGAGTCAGTGAGGCGGACTGACTGACTGGCGCAGCGGAGAGCGAGAGAGCGGAGAGCGGCGCGGTGCTGCATGGGTACTGTAGTCAAGCCGGAGGAGGGGCGGAGCAGACGTGAGCAGGTGCACCACCTTGACAGTACAACAAACCCTCTTGGTTTACACAGCCCAGACTGCAAATGACACACGGTCTATTTCCAGCGGTTCAACATTTATGAACTACACAGTAAAACTATTTTTCTTTTGACCAAAAGGTTATGGAACAGGTGCACCACTAAACGCAAAATGACACTGAGGGTTCGCTTTTGACTGACGTTAACATGCCAGTAAAAGGAAAATGGTGCTGATATGCTCCAGGCTTTTGCAAACAAAGTCCTTGAAACATTGTTCAAAATGCGTGGGATTTTTTTTTTTGTAGGCTACAATACCTTTCTTTAACTGGGAAGTTGGTTGAAATCGCTTCTCTATACCCAAGAGAGCACATCAGTTACATTTTGCACTCGAGTTCTGCGTTTTGTGTCAGATGTATTGAAGTTATTGTAAAGTTTCACTTTGCACTTTTGTTTCAGTCGTGCATAATTGCTGCTGAGTTGAAAGAAAGAAAAAAAAGTATTGAAAGGCCTTTGCAAATTAGCTGTGGCTATAATGCTGAAATGTGTGGCACAACTTTACATGTTGCGTACTTGTCCAAAACCATTAAATAGATCATTTTGTATAATTCAAATGTAAATTGTAGTGCAGCAGTTTCATTATGTCACAATGTTAGAAAGAGAACAAATGTGTAAATTAAGAAAGAAATTTCAATAAATAGATCTAGTGGTGGCACATAGCCTATAGGATGTATTGCTATATTCTAATAACTATAATCCTCTTACAAACATGATAACTGCTTATCAGATGGACTTAAGGGCTCAATACATCTCTGTGTTTGTTTAGTCCATCTGTAAATACTTTTCTATACTGTAGCACTCAGTGGAAGGCCCATTGGTTACTACTGATATAGCCTACTTTTTAAAAAAATGCCATGTACTTCTCAAACAGCATGGAACTAGGAATGCAATAGGAGTAAAGTATATTTGTTGAGAAAAGTAGTGTTTTAAAAAAAGAAAAACACCTCTACTCAGAGGTAGAGGTGGTTTCTTTTCCATTTAAAGGTATTGCAACTTTCTAAGACCACAAAATGATAAGAATAAGGAGCAATATAAAAAATATCGTCTTATATGTGGAATGGAGAAAAGCCCTGATGAATTAACAGGGTATTGTGAATTCCAGTAACTTCATGACTGGCCATCCTTTGTGTGGCCTGTTCATATAATCACACTGGACAATTTTTTTTTTACTTTACAGATAGCGGATGATTAAAATGTGGTCATTACAATTTACTAAAGCTTTATTTGGGATTCTATTTTTCTTGTATTTCTCCCTGAGGATTTTTTGTACAGCGCTGGAGACATTGAGGTTGTATGTTTTCAACATGACATCCAAGAAAAGAGAACAGCAAATGTAGGACACAGAGCAACATCAGCAGCAGTGTTTCTCCCCGTCCAGAAAAAAAGGGAAACCTGTCCTCACACATTTTTCAGGAAAAGGATGTTCATGAGCTAAAAACATGGTGCACACAAGGGACTTGAATTAGTCTCAGAACAAGTACATTTTGTTAAACCAAGTTCAAATTCATAAGAATGGTGGACATCAATGGACTAAATACATCTTAACTAACTTAACTTTGACAATCGTGTGTAACATTTTTTTTCAAACCCAGAGAGCTGTTGGTGTTGGTCACTGGGAAAAAAGCTCTCTCGTAGCCTTGATATAAAAAGTTTGTGCAGCTCTGGCTGCCTGTGCGAGTCTACAGGCCTATTTGCATCCTGTAAACCTGTCCCAGTAAACTAATTGGCGTTACTAATAGATGGCTGGATGAACCGCAGCCCTGTTATGGTAATGAATTCACACGATCCGGTGTCATAGCTGAAGGAATTGTTAAAATGCAAATGAATGATGACCCTGTTATGTGTCTATCAATTTGGGCATCCATGTTACCAGTGCATGACAATGAGCCCCTTGTTCATGCACGAAAATGCAATTAGTCCCCCAGAGCAGGAACAGTTCAACGTGAGGCCTGTGCAGAGAAATTAGGATTTAAAGAAAAATATATTTTTAAAACTGTTATCTAAATTGAGCAATACATATAAAGTAGTCCAACTGTTTTGAAGGTAATTGCTAATTTCACTTAATATATCGCCCTTTTAAAAATTATTTTCAATGTGTTGTGATGAAGCAGTGATGTATGGGAAACTCACAGCACAGTCCTATTTGTTGTAAACTTTACAGAAAGAGACATTAGATAACCCTTCATGAATTGAAATTCTTACATTTTTCTGTTTGAATGCTTCAACATTTCTGCAAAACATTTTAAACTTCTTCGACCACTGCTGTGGTCCCCTCTCAGATCCACAAATTGTTTGCTACTAAAGAGGCATGTGTGAGCGTCAGTGTGTTTGTGTGCACATGTGTCTGAGAGACTAAGCAGAGCCAGCCTGATGTTTGAAATACAACTAGACGGCAAATGTTTTTCTTATGTTTCTATTCTCTGTTTCTGCATTCAAGTTAATTGAACCATCGGTTATACCATCCACAGATCTTCATTCATTGTCACTTAAACAATTGTTGAACAACTTAGTCCTTTTTTTATATAATTGATAGAGTAAACATTACATAAGCTTACAAATATTTTTATTTGAGTTTGTATGTTATAAACACAGATTTGTATAAAGTGATCTTCTGCTTTCCACCTCTGGAGGTCGCTGTAGATACCATGTTTTACACTCCAAGTCTATTCAGTTCAGTTCATTGAAGCATATACTGTCAAGTTATCACGTAATCATTCATTGAAATAAATAAAAACAAGTTTGGATTAACATGGTATGGGCCAAAGAAGATGGTGTTTAGATGAAGTGCTTATAAAAACAGAAAAAATGGGAACATTTTGTGTCTATATATCGTTCAAGAAACCCATTTCAGACTTGCTTACAGGTGTAATACTGCTGTCTTTTAAGCAACTGTTAACTAAGTTTTCATGCTTGTTTGCTGTATTTTCTAGGAGTGAAATATACTAATATTCAGGTTTTCATGTCAGCTGACTGCTTACTGAGAGCAGGTTTTCATGTCAGAAGCAAAGAAAAAAAATCTTTCAAATCTAGCAGAAGAAGGAATTTTAGTGGAAAAACCTCTTGCCACAGCTAAGATATTTTGACTATATGATTAATATAACTACAAATACTTTTCTAAAAAGTTACAGCCCTTTTAAGCTTGCTTTTGCATATTTCTTTCTGTTGACACTGATATATTATATAATGTTTTGTCAGCTTGCTCTAAATCTGACCTTTAATTGTAAGCTACATAAATAAATGATACAAATAAATCCGGGGATAAAAATGTTTAAGTATATCTTCACACATTTTAAATTGTTAAGCTGGTCTTTAAAGCAGCAGGGAGCCAAAATAATAATCCAAAACCATAAAAAAAACAAGCACATGAAGGAAGGAGGCTTATAAAGCTCAAAACGGAATTTTGAAATCTAGACTCTTTTTTGAAAGTTTCAATCTCAACGTTCTCAAACACAAACTTCTCTTTGGCAGCATCTCTAGCCAGTCTTTGGGACCTTTGAAACCATTATGCAATGGCAGCATTAAACCGCCCATCAATGCTTCACACACAAATCAGCAGAGGAGACAATCTGTTGGATTTCCCAGAAATGCTGAAAGAGAAGGCTAATTTTTTTTCAATCAGAGACTACATAAGTAATGTCCATAGCCACTTAAAGCACCCTATAGTTTGTCAGCTGCCTGCTGGAAGCCTCAAGTTTTGCATTTTTTAAGGGGCCATGTTTTCCTGGATCCCTGAGGGGCCATATTCATTCCTCATGCTGATTTAGTTTAGTTTTGTTATTTGATGCTATAAAAAAAGGTGTAATGCACCAGATTAGCAGAGAAGATGAGGTAGAGTAAAATGAAATGTAACAAACACTAACACAAGAGTCATGGACCTTTATATAACTATGGGTGTCAAACCACCCAAGAATCTGTTCTGCTATGGACTTGGCCAATCTGAGGAATCTTTGACATTTTATTGGTAAGTTAAACGTGTTTTGGTTGGTGGAAGGTCAATACTGCAGCTCTACCAGCGGACCGATACTGCATCGTCTATAGCTCGAAATCACAAAAGATCCATCCATCTTAATATTAATTCAATGGTTGGGACTAATTCAAAACCAGCTCAAAACTCTGCATGTTACCTATCCATTATCTATCGCGTTTATCCTGTTCTGGGTCACGGGTGGCTGGAGCCAATCCCAGCTGTCTTTGGGCAAGAGGCGGGGTACACCCTGGACTGGTCACCAGTCAACCACAGCTGACATACAGAAACAAAGAACCAGTCACACTCACACCTACAGGCAATTCAGAGGCACCAGTTTACCTTACAAATATGTCCCTGGACTGTGGGAGGAAGCCAGAGTATATCCGTAGGGTACTCACTAATGCACAAGGAGAACATGCAAATTTAACACAGGAGGCACTGTCTGATGGAGAATAACACCAGGTACCTTCCACTGCCCCAGTGTGCAGCCCACTCTGCACATAAGGTGTAATAAAAATGTGACGATAGTAAGTAGATTCATTTGATTTAATTTAGCCAAGTCACTTGTTCAGCCCTTGTTGTTCTAAGACACTTAAAAAGCACACATCCTGTCCATTCGTCCATCCATGCATCCATCCTTGCATCCAAGAACCTCCGGATTGTGCAGCTGCAAGCATTCTCCACAGTGTGTCAAACAGCTTCCCTCATCATGTCTGTAATAGAGGTAATGCAGGAGGGGAGACACTCTGGGAGACTCTGGCTGGCTGACAGAGGAAGAGGAAGAAGGGGGGGGGGTCAGACAGATGTGAGATCAATCCATCCTCCAAGGCAGAGAGAGAAACAGGGAGAAAGGAAGCAGTTTCTAATAGGTAAATTGCCTGCCCTCTTTCCCTCTTTCTTT